GAGCTACCACACGCTACTCCCAGAACCAAAAGGCAACGCTACTTTTGTGAGCACTTGAACAGGTACATCCACCTCTTCCTTAAAAGTGGCTTTTGAAAAAAGTCAGGGGAAACCTCATGAGTCGTTTTCACATTTCAGAAGCCAAATAGCAAGCAATAAATATTGCATTGACGTTCAACCAATGCTGAATAATATTGGAAGAGCTCCATTATGGTCTAAAAGACAGCAGTCGTGTATGGAAGTATTCCTCCTGCTTTTCTATACACCTCTGGTCTGAATTGCTAACGACAAGGTCTTGGGCTGTTTTGTTTCCCAGGTAGGAATACTACCAACATGTCACTTCAAAGAGGTTGTGATCATTTTCAGCCTTATTTCAGCACTTCCTATTGCTTCAGAAATAAACAAGCATCTGTGCCCAGGGTTTAACACTGATTTTAAGGCTGGTAAACTGCTCTTTGGGACTAGCTGGTAGCAGAGAGAGGAATTTTATTACATCAGCCAAGCCTGTGGTTTTGTTGTTTTTCTTATCCAGGTTGTTAGAAACAAGGGCAGCTCTATGGAGACAAATTTTACAGGTGATGGGCTTCTACTTACTGCTCTTTCATATGTAAATTTCCTGAAGGCAGAAAAATTGTTCTTCCTTTGGGTATATAAACGGCTGTTTTACATCTATGGATGAATTTCATGCTTTGGACTGTTGGGAAGAAAAACCACTATCACCACCACCACAAATGTAGATTTACGTGATACCATGCTCCTTTTAAAAAAAAATAATAATAATTTGTGGCTTTTTTACCTAAATACATGTGCTTAGACTCACTGCTGTCCTTCCTGAAGGTGGTATTTGGGATGACCCTATTTAGAGCATGGCCCTACTGCTTGGATGTAAGAGCCTGCTCCAAGTTCCCAGGTTTCCTTCCCCGTTCCCCCCACGCACACCTGGAAAAGCAAACAGACCAGAGTCATTCTTCCCCATTCCTAATAACAGCTCATTGTTTCATTGTTGATTCTAGTAGAATAACTTTTATAGGAAGACTTTTTTTACTTTCCTTGTTGACTGCTAATGCAGGAGCCACCCTCTGGAACAGGGGTTTTTTTCCCCTCTGCCTTTGATGATGTCTGTATGCCAGCCAAGCACACGTTTATCTCTTTACATCCCAGATTATTTTGCCTTTTTTTTTTTTTTTTTCTTTCTTGTCGTTCAAGGGCTTCTTAGCAGCATTTCCTCTCCTGAATGGTGTGGTTTAGTCATTGCCATGCAGTTCAGGTTGGCAAAGTAAAATTTCAGTTCTACTCTATTCTCAACGGGCTGTAACTGGCATTCTGTTTGTCCAATTAATGCAAATCAGTTTATTCAGGCCTTTTGGAAACAAAAACCTCCAAGAAAAACGGCATTCAGAGATGCTCAAGATATTTTACCGTGGAACATCAGAAGAACTCGTTAATTAGAATTTGCTCTCCAAAAATATTGAGGAATTGAACAGCCCGTTCTGCTTTGGTTTGGTTTTTTTAACCAGTTGTTACCTATCTCCATAGGATTCAGCAAACTTCCTGATGCTGCACAGAGAAGTTGTTTATAAGCTTTTTGCTGTCATGTTCTGATTCTGAGTAATCTATCGATTCCCCCCTCCATTTCAGATGACTTTGCTGAGGTGCAAAGCTTTCAGCTCTTGCAATTTTTCTAGCGTGGGTTCAAAACCAGCCCGACGTTTCAGTCCTTGCTTTCCTCCAAGCTGTTTTTCAGCTGGAGGTGTTAGTAGCAGCGCTGAGGTTTGCAGGATAATTTGGTTTTGTGTTCTCTTGCCAGCTAGAGAACACATCCCCATGGATGGGGAGCATCCACACCTGCGAGAGCGTCCAGTTAAAAACTTCCAGATTAACACCCATCTGGTAAATTCTACTTTCCAACAGCAAACCTGCTGTGTTTATAATGCGGGCACTGAGAATACTGAAAAAGCAGACCTTTTCTTCTCTCCGTTTGAAACTTGTTAACCCATTAACAATTTTCCTATAAAGGAGTGTTCCAACAATACATGTCAGTGGAGAAATACCTCCTGTTTTGTTATTATCTTTTCAGCCAACTTCCACTTTCCTTCTGCCTGTCAGGACTTCTGCGTTCCACGCATTTTTGTGTTCCACGCATTTTTGTGTGTTTCCTCAGTTACCATGTTCCTCTGGTAGAAAATGTCTTTTGCACTCCTGGAAGGAGAGGAGGAATTGTATGGCCAGAAAACTAGTTCAGGCGGTTGCAGTCAAGGCCAGATTGCCAGCTTGAGACCACACTGGACCAGGTCACAGAATCACAGAATCTTCTAGGTTGGAAGGGACCTTAAAGATCATCTTGTCCAACCGTCAACCTAACTGACAAAAATAGACACCCACACAACAAACAAGGAACATCATCACTAAACCAGACCTCCCAGCACTACATCAACCCGGCTTTTGAACACCTCCAGGGATGGGGCCTCAACCACCTCCCTGGGCAGCCCATTCCAATGCCTGAGAACCCTTTCCGTGAAAAAATTTTTCCTAATATCCAGCCTGAACCTCCCCTGGGGCAACTTGAGGCCATTTCCTCTCGTCCTGTCGCCTGTGACTTGAGAAAAGAGACCGACCCCCATCTCTCTACACCCTCCTTTCAGGGAGTTGTAGAGAGCAATAAGGTCTCCCCTCAGCCTCCTCTTCTCCAGGCTGAACACCCCCAGCTCCCTCAGCCTCTCCTCACAAGACTTATTCTCCAGACCCCTCACCATCTTTGTCGCCCTTCTCTGGACCCGCTCCAGCACCCCAATGTCTTTTTTATGGTAGGGGGCCCAAAACTGGACACAGTACTCAAGGTGAGGCCTCACCAGTGCCTAGTACAGGGGGACAATCACCTCCCGAGTCCTCCTCCCCACACTTCTCCTCCTGACACAGGCCAGGATGCTGTTGGCCTTCTTGGCCACCTGGGCACACTGCTGGCTCCTGTTCAGCCGGTGTCCACCAACACCCCCAGGTCCTTTTCTGCCAGGCAGCTCCAGCCACTCTGCCCCCAGCCTGGAGCGCTGCAGGGGGTTGGTGGGACCCAAGGGCAGGACCCGGCACTTGGCCTTGTTGAACCTCATCCCATTGGCCTCGGCCCATCCATCCAGCCTGTCGAGATCTCTCTGCAGAGCCTCTCTACCCTCCAGCAGATCAACACTCCCACCCAACTTGGTGTCATCTGCAAACTCACTGAGGGTGCACTCGATCCCCTCGTCCAGATCATTGATGAAGATGTTAAAGAGAACAGGTCCCAGTACCCAGCCCTGTGGGACACCACTCGTGACTGGACGCCAGCTGGATTTAACTCCATTCCCCACCACTCTCTGGGTCCGTCCCTCCAGCCAGTTTTTAACCCAGCAGAGGGTATTCCCATCCAAGCCATGGGCAGCCAGTTTCTCCAGGAGGATCCTGTGGGAGACTGTACCAAAGGCTTTGCTGAAGTCCAGATAAACAACATCCACAGCCTTTCCTTCGTCCAGGTCAAAGGGGTGGAAACATGCCTCAGCGGTGGGATTGCACAAGGGACGAGCAAATAGTTTCTCGGAGCCTGAATGTCTATGAACAAACCACCTGAATGTGCTAATGCAGGTGTCTCTAACATAATACCTACACAGAAACACTACTTTGATCTTTACCCTAACCAATGATTAGGGTTAATGAAACACAGTAAGATTTTTTTTTATTTTTTTTTTATGTCTGGAGTGACCATTCCTCATCTCCTAAAGCAGAAAGGCTTCTTTAATTTTGAAGAGTTTTGTTTGGTCCTTAGCCCTGCAATGGCAATATATTTTACCTTGCGCAAACGATTTTAAACCTTCTTCTGGTATAAGTATTAACTTTTTTTTTTTCCAAGCTAAGGAGGTACTATAGAGTGAACAGTTCAAGGTATGGAATTTCAGCTTTCTTTTGTGGCTGGTAAATCTGAATTGGCTTTTAGAGATCAAATCTGAATTTATATGCAGATGAGGTGATTAAAGGCTTTGCACTGAAATTCACAGATGAAGTCGTGCAGAACCCAGCAGTTACAGGTGAATTTTTGGTAGCCTTAGGAACTGACTGTATTTCTTGGTCTTGTTTTGTGAAGAGATGAAGGACCATCTATACTGTTATAGGTACCTCAAAGATGAGGCTTTCTGCACCTCTTGGAGTGCCTGTAGATATTCTTGGACATTAAAGTTGGTCTCTCTCATACAGGAACAAAACTGCAACACTTTCAAAAATCCATGCTTATTTAGCTTGCATTCTATTGCTACTAATGGTGTTGTTACTAATTATCTACCATTAATTACTTTCAAAAGTATTTTTCCCCCCCTCCTTGACCCATGTTCTACTCCTGCTTGGCCATAATGCCAAAATGAAAGTTATATTTCCCAATGAATAGAGGTTTTCTCAACAGAATTTTACGCAGTACACTGCAAGATTAAATAGGACTGCTAGAAATCCCCCCCAAAAGTGAGCTTTTTCAAAGTGCTCTTATTCAAAGAGGAAAAAAATGAAGCCTTTAGCACTCAGAGACAGGCAAATTACTATTTTAATACAGTATTTCTCCAACTTTGTTACATTTCCAAAAACATTGTCTAATGTAAGTTGATAAGAAGCCTGCTTCACAGCAGAAGCACCATACTAGAGAACAGGCTGCATTTCAAAAACTTTACTAACTAAAATGAATTTTTTCTTATTATTTCTTAATAAGAAATAACTTCTTAAATCTACCTATTCTTATTTCTGTAGAGCCAATATCAAAACCACAGAAAATTATGCATAGTTACATGACTTAACGCTCTTCAAAATACGACATTTTGACTCAATCTCAGCTTGTCATTTGGTTCAGTTTCTCTCCGTAACAGCAAGTACAACTCTGACAACAAGAAGCCCAACTTCACAGGAGCTAGTCGTGTCATGAAAAGTAAATCTAGGGAAAAAGCATCGTGCAAAGAGATCCGAGCATTTCACATTCGTTTAGGTCTCAATCCTACCTCGAATTCCTGAAGCTCAGTGCAAGCATCTTCAAAATCCTCTCCTTGTAAGATATTACAAATAGGAGACTGGCAAGTTCCTCTGCCTACAAGCCACTGCCAGCCCATCCTGAGTAAACATCCTCCTCCCCTGGCAGTCAGACGGGCCTCCCGAGCTTTGCGCCGCCGTCTGTACCAGTGCCCAGGCGGGTGTGATTGTGGAGCAAGCACAGCTGGTCCCTCCCAGCCAGCCCAGGGACACGGGAAGGAGAGGAGGAGAGAAAGCCTTCCTCCCGCCTTACGATGCCCAGGCCACAGTAAATGACCTGGGCAGGCTGGAGAGGTGGGCCCAGGTGAACCTCATGAGGTTCAACAAGAGCAAATGCAAGGTTCTGCACCTGGGCCGGAACAATCCTCACCACCAATACAAACTGGGGGGTGAGGGATTGGAAAGCAGCCCTGAGGAAAGGGACTTGGGGGTGCTGGTGGAGGAGAAGCTGGACATGAGCAGGCAGTGGGCACTTGCAGCCCAGAAGGCCAATCCCATCCTGGGCTGCATCAAAAGATGCATTGCCAGCAGGTCCAGAGAGGGGATTCTGCCACTTTACTCTGCTCTGGTGAGACCTCACCTGGAGTATTGTGTGCAGGTCTGGAGCCCTCAATATAAGAAGGACATGGACCTGATGGAGAGGGTCCAGAGGAGGGCCACAAGGATGATCAGGGGGATGGAGCACCTCTGCTACGAGGACAGGCTGAGGGAGCTGGGGTTGTTCAGCCTGGAGAAGAGGAGGCTCCGGGGAGACCTAATAGCAGCCTTCCAGTACCTGAAAGGAGCCTACATGAAGGCTGGGGAGAGCCTGTTTAGAAAGGCCTGCAGTGACAGGACGAGGGGCAATGGCTTCAAGCTGGAGGGGAACAGATTTAGACTGGAGATGAGGAGAGGGTTCTTCACTGTGAGGGTGGTGGAGCACTGGAACAGGTTGCCCAGGGAGGTGGTTGAGGCCCCTTCCCTGGAGATATTCAAGGAGAGGCTCGATGAGGCCCTGGGCAACCTGGTCTAGTTGGGGGTGTCCCTGCTGACTGCGGGGAGGTCGGACTAGATGGCCTTTGGAGGTCCCTTCCGGCCTGGGCAATTCTATGATTCTATGATAAATGGTAGCAGCTGCTGACGAAAATAAATCAAAATGAAATGAAAAAACCTCTGCGCTCTCGTAAAAAGACATCTGGGCTGCAACGTCGCCACAGCAAATACAAACGATGTATCACAGGTTACAAATGGATTTGTAAGGCAACGTTTTCTGTGATAAGAGCAACAGCAGGAAAAAGTAAGTTTGTTTAAATTTCAGTTACAATAGGACCAATTATTCCAGAAAAATAACAGGCATACAAGAGACCTTTGTTACCAGAATCTAGCTAAGATGCAACGTGGGTTTTCTTAACTTTAAATTTTCTGCCTTTTATTTTTTTCCCCCTTTTCTAACAGTGTTTACCATTCTAGCTTGCAATGCTATTTTCATACACAGCACCATACAATAGAGAACAGCTGGTTCGGATCAGCACTGCCAGGTGTTTCGTTTTAATAAGGACAACAACTTTGCAGAAGTGGTAGGATTTCCAAAGGAAATCATTATCAATAACTAGGGTTACTTATTTGTTATGTCTCGCCACTATACTAGTCCCTTTCTCTGTCCCTATTATTAGTCTACCCTAGTTATTAGTCCCTAATAACTAAAGGTACAGAGAAGAAATTAGGATTGAAGCTGCAGCTCTCTGGAAAAAAAAAATAATCTGGAAAAAAAAAAAAAATCCAGATGGATGCAGGAATGACTACAGTGGTCACTGCTTTTTCACTAAATTTATACTAGAAAAGAGCCTGAATATCCACACAGTAAAAGCACAACTACTGAAGCATTCCCAGTCTCCCCCCGGATTCATCTACAGATACACACAATGCACACACTAAGGAAATAGCCTTCCTTAATGAAGGAAAAACCATCAGCAACAAGAAGTAAAAAAAAAAAAAGAAAAAAAAAAAGATAGTAATTGTATGTCCTATGCACTGCAATGTTATTTATAGCTACAGAAATTACTTAGTACTTATTTATAACAAGTTCTGGCTTCTGCAGTGGATCTGTGAAATTGTATAGACTCACTTGGGCATCCTGCAGAGTTTCTAGATGCAAAGAACCCAGGGACAGAACTTGAGAAGACAACTTTTCAAACACTATCCCTTTTCTCTAGCTGCGTGCCCCTTTCAAGATTTGACAGTAAGCCGTGCACAGAATAACTACTTTTGCTTATTTTTCATACAAACACGATGCGATAAACAGAGTGAAACCCAGCAATATGTTGCCAAAAACACATTAAAAAAATTAAGTAAATAAATGCTCAACGCTAGGATTTAATTGCGACATTAGCACCGCAGCAAAGGCTTCTTCTCTTATGCATTCATATATTCCTTTACGTTTTTACCATCCACTCCTTTCTTTAATTTGGTTTTGCTTCTCTGTCTGAATTTGAAGGAACACCTGCAAACACGCACTCCAGATTGCTCCATCTGGGAAGAAGGAGGGAGAGAAAGAGGAAGGTGTTTGGGCTTTTTACATCCACTTAACTTGATAACAGCCGCTGTATGAACAAAGAAAGGATGCTCTAAAAGCTGAGTAACTCACACAGGGCTCGGAGGGGTAGCAATATTCCTATACCTGAAGGGATTTATTCAAGCCCTGTTACATATTGCATGAAATGCATAGGTTTGTGCCCACGCATGCCCACAACCCATCTGGATAACAATCCCCACGGCCACAGTGCTGACTTCACCCTTGTTACCAAGGGCCTTTCACAGCAGCTACACACTCCCTATTAAAGGAAGTATTTGTGTATTTTTAGTCCTCTATTAGAGGACTAAATAGAAGTTGTAGTAAGATCCCCATTTCATCATCCTAAACCATGGAACAAACCAGGGAGGGAGTAGTCGCCTCTCGGTAGCACTTCTCTCATGCAGGTATTACAGGGGTGATTTTTATCTTCTCCTTTTTCTTTTTTATAAAAAAAGGTGAACTTTTGGCAACACTGAAGAGCGATCAGTACTTGTAACAAACTCTCACTGCAATACAGTCAGACGGCAGCCCGCTTCTCCACTGTTATTTCCCCACTTATCAAAATCTTTTGTCTTCCAGCACGTTGTACAGTTATTCCTGCATCTACAGGAACACGACTTTGAGGTTTCTCCCAGGCAGCTTTTTGAAGTTATCATCAAACGAGAGAAAGCTCTAAAAACTAGGTTTACTGTGCCTCCAGTTTGTTTCAACTCATGGGACCTAGAGTCTTTCCAAGGGACTGCCTAAGGCTCACCTTCTACAGACTAAAAAAAAAAAAAGAAAAAAAAAAAGATAGTAATTGTATGTCCTATGCACTGCAATGTTATTTATAGCTACAGAAATTACTTAGTACTTATTTATAACAAGTTCTGGCTTCTGCAGTGGATCTGTGAAATTGTATAGACTCACTTGGGCATCCTGCAGAGTTTCTAGATGCAAAGAACCCAGGGACAGAACTTGAGAAGACAACTTTTCAAACACTATCCCTTTTCTCTAGCTGCGTGCCCCTTTCAAGATTTGACAGTAAGCCGTGCACAGAATAACTACTTTTGCTTATTTTTCATACAAACACGATGCGATAAACAGAGTGAAACCCAGCAATATGTTGCCAAAAACACATTAAAAAAATTAAGTAAATAAATGCTCAACGCTAGGATTTAATTGCGACATTAGCACCGCAGCAAAGGCTTCTTCTCTTATGCATTCATATATTCCTTTACGTTTTTACCATCCACTCCTTTCTTTAATTTGGTTTTGCTTCTCTGTCTGAATTTGAAGGAACACCTGCAAACACGCACTCCAGATTGCTCCATCTGGGAAGAAGGAGGGAGAGAAAGAGGAAGGTGTTTGGGCTTTTTACATCCACTTAACTTGATAACAGCCGCTGTATGAACAAAGAAAGGATGCTCTAAAAGCTGAGTAACTCACACAGGGCTCGGAGGGGTAGCAATATTCCTATACCTGAAGGGATTTATTCAAGCCCTGTTACATATTGCATGAAATGCATAGGTTTGTGCCCACGCATGCCCACAACCCATCTGGATAACAATCCCCACGGCCACAGTGCTGACTTCACCCTTGTTACCAAGGGCCTTTCACAGCAGCTACACACTCCCTATTAAAGGAAGTATTTGTGTATTTTTAGTCCTCTATTAGAGGACTAAATAGAAGTTGTAGTAAGATCCCCATTTCATCATCCTAAACCATGGAACAAACCAGGGAGGGAGTAGTCGCCTCTCGGTAGCACTTCTCTCATGCAGGTATTACAGGGGTGATTTTTATCTTCTCCTTTTTCTTTTTTATAAAAAAAGGTGAACTTTTGGCAACACTGAAGAGCGATCAGTACTTGTAACAAACTCTCACTGCAATACAGTCAGACGGCAGCCCGCTTCTCCACTGTTATTTCCCCACTTATCAAAATCTTTTGTCTTCCAGCACGTTGTACAGTTATTCCTGCATCTACAGGAACACGACTTTGAGGTTTCTCCCAGGCAGCTTTTTGAAGTTATCATCAAACGAGAGAAAGCTCTAAAAACTAGGTTTACTGTGCCTCCAGTTTGTTTCAACTCATGGGACCTAGAGTCTTTCCAAGGGACTGCCTAAGGCTCACCTTCTACAGACTGTCACCAGCAGTAGCTGTTCCAACACTCCTCTCCTTGAATATCTCCAGGGAAGGGGCCTCAACCACCTCCCTGGGCAACCTGTTCCAGTGCTCCACCACCCTCACAGTGAAGAACCCTCTCCTCATCTCCAGTCTAAATCTGTTCCCCTCCAGCTTGAAGCCATTGCCCCTCGTCCTGTCACTGCAGGCCTTTGTAAACAGGTTCTCCCCAGCCTTCCTGTAGCCCCCTCAGGTACTGGAAGGCTGCTATTAGGTCTCCCCGGAGCCTCCTCTTCTCCAGGCTGAACAACCCCAGCTCCCTCAGCCTGTCCTCGTAGCAGAGGTGCTCCATCCCCCTGATCATCCTTGTGGCCCTCCTCTGGACCCTCTCCATCAGGTCCATGTCCTTCTTATATTGAGGCCTCCAGACCTGCACACA